TCGTTCTCGCGACGACGCTTCTCTTCACACCTTTCACCTTCTTCGTGCACTTGCTGTCGCCCACTCGAGTCGCGTACATCTTCGCGCGCAAACCCACAAACTCCGTCATAACAGCNCCGTTGTTCTCATCCTTCATAAGTCCCGGTACCTTCTTGTNTGCGCAANGCATGTTGTATAGATTGTCCGCTGGATAGTCGCTCGTATCGAAGCAAGCGATATCGCGCTTCATATCCTCGTACACATCCTCGCACTTTATGTGGTATATCAAACTGTCGGTATCGGTGTAGAGGATCTTGCAATCGTAACCGTACAACGGTGTCATGTAGTNGTAATGGAATTTGTATAGACAGGTCTTCGATATGTCGAGTATGCACATACCGACGTACAACGGTTTGTTAAACAAAACTTCCAGGCGACGCAGTTCTATGGCCACCAGATCTTCAGCGAACACGCTGCGGCTGTGGAAGTTTGGTTTTGCAATGAGCGCTTCTGCACCGTATCGTCCTTCCCATTTTGTAACAATTCGTACGTCGGTGTACTTGCGCACGTTCTCCATTGTCTTGCCGAACACCGCGTTGTTCATAAGTTTGTAAAGATTCTTTGCAAACTCATTGGCGGAATTCGCGCGGAATCGAGTATTGAGCTCGATGTATCCGCGCAGCCAAGGCGATTGCGAGAACCGCAGCACTCAATGTATTCGCGTTAAGCGAAGCCCGTGTCTCAGACACTGCTGCAGGTTGAGGTAGTGAATCACGTATCGCTTCTTGTTGAACACTGTGGCGAGNAGTTTGATGTGATTCTTTCCATGTTTACCAGGCGGCTCCTCGCGCGTCGGACAAAAGGGTAGATTTCTGTGCGCGTCGTGCAGTTCTTTCGGATACGTCAGNTCGACCTCGAGTATGTAGCCGATGTCGCTGTCCGCCGCTACCGTTGTCACATTGAACTCGTACGCGTTCTCCACCCACGCAAAGTTACCATATGGAAGCGGTTGACACATCGCCTATCCGTAGAGATTGTTGACGTTGTAGTACATCAGATACGACGACGGTTCGGATGGATCGTGCGAACACGCGTACCTGTTGTTCGCGCGGGCGTATCTGTTCGAACATTGACTCAGACCGCCGCGTATACCACGTTCCACGAACATCACCATGTCGATGTCAGTCAGCAGCTCGAACGTCACACGAGTGTACTTCAACATGGCGTCCCATGTATACCCCGGCAGCGTGTAGTAGTGCGCGGGATCTAGTCCGTAACTCGCGAGGCACTCGCGACGAAAGTTTTCGAAAACATCGGCCAGCAAAAGTACGTCCGTCTTCAGATACAAGTCGCTGTACGATCCCAGATTTTCGATGGTGAATTGTTGCCATACATTCGTTGCGTGCGCGTACTCGTTCTCCGTCACAGTCTCGCCGGTCAGCGAACTGTAAAACGCCTCGCGCGGTGGCAAATTTGTTTCCAACAATTTGTCGACGCTGTCCACATATTCATATAGAAACACACCTTTTCGCGTGAGCAGTTCAAAGTCCTCGGTGGAGAGATCTCCGAATTCCGTTCGAGTCACACGCAGTTCGCTTTTGCCGAGATAGGATGCGAGCTTTTCTAAGCTTGTGCTCAGAAATTTGTAAGAATCGATGAATCGCAGTTGCACGCACCTCTGATTGTCTTCGTCCCGCGTACTGTTCACATGTTTCGTGAACGATATGTAGGTCTCTTTCGTCATGGGTAGCACATTGATCTCGCCCTCAAAAGCGGTGGCCACATCCTTGATAATAAAATGCGAGTCATATCCGGACAAGTTGTGGAACACAACGGGAACAACGTAAACTTGTTTGTAATTCAGATTGCACGCGAAGTGTGCGGGTCCTCTGAAGCGTCCCGTTAGATGACAGTGGTCGCGCACCCTATTGTCATCTCGCTCGAACGGCTGTTCGCAAACGTGGCAACACTTAGCGTTCTTAAACCGCTCGATCTCCGCCAGTGTGAGATTCGCCATTGGTACATTTGCCGCGAACAAGGTCTTCGCACGTTTCGCGAGATCGTGCAGTTCACTCACAAACCACTGCACACAGTTCTCGCCTCTATAAAATTTGTATCCGATATCTATGTGCTCGCAGCTGGCGTAATAACCGATGCTGAACAAACTGTGTCTTTGGTACTTGTGCGCGCTTGATGTATCCTGCTTTTCGTTCTGTTTTTCGAGTACGCACTCTAAGTCGGCATACACCACCATTGGAACCCGTTCCTTGTTGTTGTAATTCTCGAATTTCAAACGGTTCTTTCCCTCAGTGGGGAGAACCACTGCGCTGTTGTTCAATCGTTCACAGTCCACGGTGTGTTGCGCCAGCTTCTCGCTTGTGTGGAAGTAGTGTAGACATCTGTGTACGCGTTGCATTAAAAACAATACACAACATTGATTCATGAGTTCAACCATCTCGTAATTTGAACGATCATTTTGGTTTGTACTTACCGATCGCATATGTACTTCCCTGTCTTTTTTTTACTCAATTGCGAGCTGACTAAGCGCGATAAATGTTTTATCCACGCGAAGTGCTCTACGTGTCCATCGCGTTGATCGGGAACATACAACAGATTCACATGCTTGTCCTTCTTGTTCGACGTAAGTTGCAGCGGCACGTATCCGTGTCTCTGTTCCGCCGCCGTAAACACGTTTACGGACACGTTGTTGTTGCGTTCGAAACGCGCGATTTCGTGCAATGTCATCGGAAACTCTATTCCATCAAGGTTCAAAACACTCGCGTAGGCGGGATACTTTGATTTTCGTTCAGAATGTGAAGCACTTGGATACAACGCGGCGACTACTGCCCACGCGAAACACGCATTGTTCTACGACTGTACGTTCACTACTGCGCGTTTGAGTTGAACCTCACGCGACATCTGGACCTGACATCCCGCGTGCATCGGATTATGATTGTTCACATTCACTATGAGGTTCAGTACCTGCGCCAACGCCCAGCCGCTGTCGCGTTCCACGAACTCCTCCAGAGCGGTCATTGTTGCATCTATCACGTCTCGATCGTACCACTTGCGCAGATCTGACGTGTGATAGAGTCCGCGGTTGCGCGTATTGAACGATTTCACACTTGTTTTTTTACCCGTCACAAACTTCCCGTTGAACACTGTGTTTGCTTTCACACTAGCGTGCCGCGCGATCGCTCGATGAACGCGCGCGAGCACTGTGTCTCTAGCGGCTTCGAGAAAGCGACGGGGTTCGATGAACGACTTGTTCACCACGATGCCGGTCACTAAACGATTTTTAAACGCTGTCTCGACTTCGATCCATGCGAATCCAGCACTCTCGACACCCACACCAACGTGTGCGAATCGTTCGCGAAGAGCCGCGCGCAGACTTTTGAGTCGCGAGATTCGAGCAACGTGCCAATTTATCACACCTGTGGACGGTCGCGGGCGTTTTCTTCGGCACTCTTCTCTCAGCGTCTCTAAACGTTCGTCGCAACGTTCCTCCCACGAGATGTAATCATTCAACGTGTCGAGGAGCGCGGCCTCTTTTTCGAGCGGTTCGCGATCGTTTATGTATGCCATTGCTTATATACTTGTTGTAGTTTTAAAATATTAAAAATATTAGAAAGATAGAGCCGCACATCAAACCAGATTTCACGTATTGCGTCCTCGCACACTTTAAGAATTTCAAGATTGTGTGTATTTCTATAGAGCTTGCGATCTCGATTTGCTCGCGATCGAAACGACTTGTGACTCGCTCCCGAACTCAACGCGCTATTTTATTTCGCTCCTTATCTTTTCCGCGATTTTTCGATTTGAAAGTTTAAATTAAAAAACCGTTAAAAAACCACATCCGGTACGTGACGGTTTTTTACGCAGTTGGTATCGCAGGAAATGATTCATCAAATCGGAAGTGCCTGATCGCTTTGGCGATAAGGGAAATTTACGATTTTTCTTGGAATTATTTATTTTACTGCGCAATTAAAAATCCTAATTATTAGTTTAGCGATGATGTCATCATCCGAATGACCTTGAACACGCACGGACCTGTTTGGGTTCTATTTTTAGCAATGACGTTATCATCCTTGCGGTTTTTCTCGGAATTATTTATTTTACTGCGCAGNTGCGGTTTTTGAACATGTCCGTATAGTGATAGAGTGAGGGGGAAATTTTTTCATTTATCCTTGGGATATATAAGGCGTTGCNTGGTAACCAAAAACAGTCAGTCTCGCTGCGATCGTTCTGCGTGCTACGAGTTGTCGCTCTTTCTCCTACTCCTCTTTGCAACGAACAGCTCGACGATGTTTCGCTCGATGGTTCCGATGAAGCAACAACAACCTTCCATCGATCTTCAGCGCGAGCCCCAACGCAACGGCGCGAAGAGAAAGAAGTTCAATCAAGGGTAAGTATGTTTGTTTTGCTTTCTTTTTTGTTGCTTCTATTCTATTATTTTTTTTAATTCACAATAAAAGCATATTTTTTAGTTTTCTTATTCACAGACAATGCAATGGTGTTCAGTCAACATCGATTACACCCAACGTACCACCACAGCGTACGCGGATACTGAGTCGCAAATACATCTTAACCAAAACGGGGTACAAGTATTTCGAACTCGGTATTGGTATTTCATTGTTGGATGCACCACCAACCGTTGACATAGCTCTAGGTGACAACAATGGGAACGAGGTGCTTCTGTCGTCAGAAATGTGGAAGGTGTTGTTGGACAACAAACAAATAATTATGTCTTATTTGTCGGGGCAGAGCGACGCGCAGCCGCCGATTCTTGTAGACGATCTGGCTGTATTGTTCAGCTTATAAACAACGCAAAGATCATGCGTCTGACTACAAAGAATAGTCGCATAATATCGTCCCACCAATCAATGTGCAACTTGTTCAACTTGAAACATTGTGTTGCGTGCATCATCGCCTACTTAAACGACGTTGTTATTTGCGTGCAAAACAGATTGTCGCGGTATTTCGCGATCCAGTCTGAATTATCCGATCCCGCCAGCTTTGCAAATGCTGTCGCACAGAGCGGTGACTTCGACGTCAACGATATTGTCGATTGCGAACTGTTAGCTGTATGTTACGGCGTTGCGCCTTAATAAATATTATTATTGTTTTGTTTCACTTTCACTTATGTAACTTTATTTGTTTTTTACAGACTATAATAAAAAATTGCTCTGTTCTTCAATAACACAGTGTTTTTTATTTCACATTTCTTAACCACATATGCGTTCCCATTAAAACATTTTTATGTTTAATTGTAAACACTTTTTTAACTAATAGTCCTCGAGAAATAAACACACACATCCAGGACGTAACGGTTTCTTATTTGCACACGTTTTTAATAATAAATACTTATAGTACACACGCACCGGAAGTGTGTAAAAAAAACCACATCCGGTATGTAACAGTTGCAAATGTTATCGCAGGAAATGATTCATCAAACCAGAAGTGCCTGATTGCTTCAGCGATAAGAAAAGAAGCACTTCCGGAAAATTTGTGGTTTTTCTCGGTATTATTATTTTACTGCGCAGTTGCGGTTTTTCTCGGAATTACTTTACTGCACAATTAAGAATTCTAATTATTATTTTAGCGATGATGTCATCACCATCCAAACGAGCTTGAACACGTTACGACTGTTGACGCCATAACTAATGCTCACTTACCTGAAATAAATAAAACACGTTGAAATATGCATGCTCCATTTTTACGGCTCGTCGCTAATTGGCTAGTTCCGGTAAAACCGATAACAACGCTCCGCCGACACCACCCACACTCCTACGTTATCTCATCCGCAACGTCCAAATCCTCCGATCCTGCTCTCAATATTACGAATATGCTTCCAATGATCCCCTTTGCGCGGTGCCCTCGCTGCTCCTCGTGGGTAAGAATAATTAATACTAATTTATTTTAATCAAAAATAATCGATAATCGATAATCGATAATCGATAACCCCTCTCCCTCGACTTCTTCTCTCCCTTTGCCTTCCCCCTCTCCTCTCCAGCGCAAGCTGCCCCTCTTTCTCCCCTCTCCCCTTGCCTCAAATCTATTTCTCTCTCTTTCTTTCTTACAGATGTTTCCAGTCAGGCATGCTCGAACGCTCCATTTGATAGACAAGGATAGACTATTTCTCGACTATGGGAATATTGGATTCGAACCCCCCTAGAATACCTATTCACGTAATCACCGAGAAGGGTATATTGCCGGATCCGTCGAAAATAAAGACGGACAAGGGGTTTCCGATTTCGAAAAAAGCGAAAGATATATAGGCGTTCAGTGGTCTGGCAGGATACTACAGAAAATTCATCGACCAGTTCTCCAAAGTAGCAAAGCCGTTGACACGACTGTTACAAAAAAAAGTAGGATTCGATTGAGGGCCCGAGCAACAGCAAGCATTCGAGAATTTGAAAGAAATATTAATTAGCGCTCCGTTGCTCGCGTATCCGGACTTCGACAAGGAGTGTATCGTCGCGACCGTCGCGTCGGGTTACGCGGTCGGCGCGGTGCTATTGCAAGGTGCGGTAGGTCAGGACCGGCCGGTTGCATACGCGAGCCGAGTACTGAATAAAGCTGAGCAAAACTACAGCACGACTGAAAAGGAGTTACTCGCAATTGTGTGGGCGGTAAAGCATTTCAGGTTTTACTTGTACAGAACGAAGTTCAAGAGTATCACTGATCCTAAGGCACTGGTGAGGCTTTTTAATGTAAAAGACTCCGGATCGCGGCTCGTGCACTGGCGTTTGAAATTAGAAGAATATAATTACGAGACCATGCATAAGAAAGGGAAGGCAAATACCAACGCGGACGCGCTGAGTAGAGCTCCCGCGGAAGCATGCACGTGCGAAGCGAAGGAGAACAAGAAAACAAAAGAAGAGCGAGAGGCAAGAACTAACCGAAGAAGAAAAGAGACAGATACTATACGAGTATCATTATTCACCGGTGGGTGCACATCAAGGAGTCACACGTACAACAAAAAGATTAGACTGAGGTACGACTGGCCTAAGCTGACAAGCAACGTGGAGAATTATATTTCAAAATGCGAATCCTGCCAAAAGAATAAGTTGTCGCGGAAAATAAAAATACCACTAGTACTTATAGATACACCGAAAAAGCTTTTCAAAAAGTGTGCGCTTGATATTGTCGGACCGATACCGGTGACGAGTAGCAGAAATAAGTATTTTCTGACGTTTCAAGACGGCCTCACGAAATTTAGTGAGGCGATATCCGTTCCGAATCAAGAAGCCGCTACGATAGCAAGGGAGTGTGCGACGAAAATTGTGTGTGAGCACGGGATTCCGGAAACAATTTTAACGGATCGAGGAACAAACTTAGGAAGCAAACTATTTAAAAATGTTTGCAAGTTACTGCNAATAAATAAGATACAAACAACGGCCTATCATCCGGAGAGTAACGGAGCGTTAGAACGATCGCATAGAACGCTGGCCGAGTATATACGATACGTCACTACGTAAACAAGGACCAGACGGATTGGGACGAGTGGGTGCCGTACGCAATGTTCGCGTACAATACGACACCACACACGGCAACGGGGTTTACACCTTTCGAATTGATGTACGGGAGGTGCGCGGAATTACCGACCGCCTTAACAAANCCACCGTCTACGCAGTATAATTTAGAAAATTACTCACAAGAGTTAAAACAGAGATTGCGGGAGACAAATTGAGTAGCGCGGGAAAAACTCAAAGAAGTAAAAGAAAAGACTAAGCGTTACTATG